ACCACAGTGACTGGAAGGCAGGGATCAAATGTAGTTTTCCCGCGGCCATTGCTTTCAGGAGCAAGTGCTTTAGCTCACAAAGTAACTCCCGCCGCGCAAAAACGTGGTTTCGTCCACAGCATGACGGCATGACTGATACCCGCCACGCTAGCGTCGAAGCGGCCGCACACACCCACAGGCCACGTCTATCGTTGAAAATATTTTTAAAAAAGACGCGAGACGAGACCTACGAGGCGACGAGAGCACGAAACGTGAGACAGCGGGAAAACCATGCAAGACCAAATGGACAATTGATGCAAGGTACTTTGTGCACGGTACTCAATTTAGTTTCGGCTTTGAAAGGCGACCGAAATTTGTTTTTTGGCGCAGGTTTGGCGCAGATTACCCATATTTTGGAAAAATGTCGCGGGATGTAGCAGGGTTAGCCCCTCGGCGCAGTTTGGAGTATTTGGCGCAGCAATCAGATCACTGAATCTGGGAACCAGCGCATGCAGAGTGGCAGCACAAAGTCGGGGTCGCGAGCTAATTTGCCGACCACCCAAAGGCCCACGATATAAATGCCACTTCAAACGCGTTGAAAGTGGGATGTAATATCGTCCTAAATCATGAACATGCAAGGAACAGAATTCCAGCGTCTAAAAAACACTTGCGCCACCACTTCACCGACCCCTCGCAAGATTGCCTTGTGTCGTGTGGACGGACGGGGAGGTTCATCGGCGGAATGGCCTCCGCCGAAAGCTTTCGGGATTTGTAACACAATTTTAATAGTAAAAGGTACAAGCAGGCTTATAAAATATACGGAAGCACGTCAATATCGGCATAACTCAACGCCTTGTACACCGGGTAAACGAAGTCTAGCTCCTCGAAGAGCTTGCGGCACAGAACGCCAAACCGCCAAACCAGGAAACCGCGGTGCTGGGAAGCGAGCCGATGCGAGATCGCGGAGCGAAGTCCTCCCCCTGACGTCACGGTACACCTCATCCTATCAGGGCGCGGCGACCGCAGCGACGCTTGTGTTCGCTCTCGGGGCTAATAGTGTCCTGGCTGTGACAAGCTCCCCTAATGTTTTTAAACGAAGCTCTGAAAAATGTTGAGAACAAGGCATTGTACTGTAGCCTTTTATGCTTCCTTAGTTTCATGCCTGAATATCGACTCCGCATTGTTCAGGGCATGACGTACAAACAAAGATGGCATGATCAAGCCTCCATAGTTTCTTATGAAAACCAGAAGGCTTGTCACATGATCGACGACACGGATGTCAAGGCAATCTGAGCATGTCACCTTCTTCGACACAACCCGCACAATAAATCCGCTTACATACTGGACAATCTCGGCACTGAATTCGGTTAAACCGTACGTTGCACAAAAAATAGTCATGGTCAGCAAAGCTTGGAAATGTGTCGTCTCAGCGGGTCTATCTCCTCTGCCTTATCATTTTCCTCCGACACGTTGCCTTGATGCCTCAATGCAGTGATGCCACCCAAGTCAGGAGCAACATTTGCAGTTGTTGGCGCCCTGCCATCTGCATGCACCAGCAGACAGCGATAAGCATGGCGGAACTGCACAGCAAAAGGGTTGTTGTTCCAACCCCCACGCTGTCTGATAAAGCTGAAGAACATCTCCAGATGATCCTGACTCAGACAGTATGTGCATATATATCTGCATTTGGTAAATCCCACCAAAAAGGTTATGGAATTCAAGCTGCCACTACAAATTAATCTAACGAGTTTCAGCTTTTACCTGCACATGTCCCTCTAAAACAGAGCATCTGCAAGCTCAGCGACGCTACTCAGGGTGAGTGCCATGCTTATGACAGACGCAGGGGCAGATCCACAACTTCGTTTTGTTTGTGTGTGTTTTTTTTTTGGGGGGGGGGGGGGCGAGGGAATTTGTAAGGATACTATTCTCCCATTCTTTCTTGTGCACCGGGGGGTCCACCCATGTCAAATTGCCCTCCGAGAAGGGGGGAGGGGAGGATGGCCGCCCCCGTCGCCCCCCCCCCCCCCCCTTCCCTTCTTGTATCCGCCCCTGGACAGACATGCGCCTCCCATCTTTAGCAACTGGTTTCCCTGATGAAAGCTGTAGAAACATCAACGTTTCGGACAAGGTGACCACCTTATTCTTTGGGCTCTTGCACAAGGTTTGTCTTAGTGGCACTTTGAACTCCATTGCCCTTGGGCCGAGGCAATTTAGCATGTCAAATTCTCTAAAAAAGAAGAGAACAGTCTAGCAATCAGCCATGATACCTGTAATATATTGGATACAAGTGAATCGTACATTTGTAATTCCAAACCAGGTCAGACACTTTTCAAGTCTCATCTTTTTTTGTCCTGTTTTTTCCTTGTATGATTAGTCATGTGTGATACCTATATCCGCGACAGAAGTCGTGTGCAGCACAATAAAAAACAAGAGTTCATTTTACCTCCTAAATGCGCCTCTAGTTAACACGAAGGGAAATGGCAATTTTTAAGGAAATCACCCTTTCCCTTATTAAAGAGATAGTGAATTAAAATTTCGAGCTCACAAAACAAGGCTGGACGGATAGCAGGGTTGGGCAGAAATACTAAAAAATGTATTTGGAAATACAAATATTGGGATACATCAAAATAGTAGCTAAAATACTGATACTAAGATACATTAGTAAAGATGTATCGCGATACGTATCGGAAATACATTTTAAGAAGAGGCAAAAAGTATTTGGAAATACAAATACAGGACTACATCTTAGGGAGGGCAGAAATACAAATACAAAAATACTGATAGTGCAATACATTTTCCAAATTTTTTGAGACGCCAACTGAGACGAAGCTTGAAGTGGATGTTTTCGATCCCGAAATTACTTTCCTGTAGGCCTGGCACTTTGCCGTGAAGGTAGTGGTTTCGGACGACAAGGAGTCTTCAATGGGCCCAAAAAAACGTTCCATCAAGGGCTGACCGCGGTCCCTTCTATGACATCTTGTCTGTGTGACCAGGGAATCCTGTCAACATTAATCACATGATGTCACGGTGGAATGAACTAATATTCTTTATCTGTAGGTGTGGCCTTGAACATGAAACTTTACCACGCTGCTGTATGAAAGGACAATACGTACTTTCGTTGTAGGTTACCTGGTTGAAGATCGTGCATACAGTGTCATTTGTAATTTTTGAGAATAGTGGACCACCTGAAGCATCTTGGAATACATGTCTTATCTTCTGTTACGGTTGAAAAAACGATACGGTAGCATCCTTGTTCTGAAAGTCCTTACTACCGACCCTCCGCCACCGACGCACGGATTGCAGTCCCCAAGTTTTGCCTAGCATTATCCAAACAGAGACCTCGTGGATTGCGAGCTGATATTGCCGGCACAGGTGCGAGCTGTCCGAGAAAGAGCAGCCTCGAGACGAGTCGCGGGAATACGTAGTCTGGGACGGCACAGAGAGGCCACGTCTGGCCTCCTTCTGGGTTTCGGATCACCAGAGCAACGGGTCATGTTCACGTCGGCTGATGACGTACCATTGAGCCGTGCAATGTTATGGGCCAGCCGCAGATGCATTCGAATATGTGTTGAACTTCACAGCGTGAGTCTTCCTACTATTTCAAGTCAACCACCGCCACGCTCGTGCTGCAACGGAATGTGACTCAGCTTTGACGGCTGGGTGTATTCTGTATGCTAAGGCGAGAGGGGCTGTTAGCAGCGGGCACTGGATGCCAGCAAACAATGACTCAAAAAATCCCTACCTAAGGACCTGCGGCAGAAGATGCTCTGACTCCACTCCTGGCACGCCACCTGGTTCGAGTCCCCAACTACGCAACACTTCTCAGAAGAGAGAAGAGAAAGCATAGAAAAAATAGTTTGCAGAATCAAAAGTAACCAGCATAGAAACACTGCCCCCGCATCTCCTTGACTCTGGTGCCCTCAGGAGTAAAAAAAAAAAAAGCGTTCGAACTTTTTTTTTTTTTGGTGCGGGGGGGGGGGGGGGGGGGAGTATTTCTCAAGAAATGTAACGAAATACATTTTATCCTGATTGTATCGCGATAAAAAGAAACATTCCAAATGTACTTCGATACAGGAATACAGATACTGGTGAAAAAAATGTATCGCGATACAGAAATACCGATACGAAATGTATTTGTAAAATACTATCGCGATACATTTGTATCGCGATACTGCCCAACCCTGACGGATAGGCCGCGGACGCTGCAAAACCCAAACACATCACTCAACAGCGATATCTCTAACGGGTCGCCGTATTTTCGGAAAAGAAGTGCGCGACTGAACACGGCCGATGAGGCCGACGAGAGAACCCTATTGAAAAATGCTATTAGATATTGTATTATGGAAATTGCCACCGCGGATGCATCGCAGTGAAGAGGCAGAGAGCTTTCGAAGGAAAGAAGATATAAAAGCTTTTCTCTTAAAAGTTCTACAGCGAATTTTTTTTCTTGCTCTATTTTTGCGTTTTGGTTTTCTTTTGACACATTTTACGACGTGCGGTAGATGAAATTTGATTTCAAAATCGTTTCATGGTCCCTTTACTCATTTCTGAAGCATTGCAACATTGAGAGGCTTTAGGCTACTGCCGCCACACAATGGAGCGGAGAGCAGAATCAAGATGGAAATGTGGGCAAGTTGGTTCATCGTCAGTCAAAACAGTGCGCAAGGAACGAAGATAGAATAAATAACAAAACAATACAACGGATCTTCCCTTAGTTCATTCTCTGCCTCCGTTCTTTACGCGCCGTTCTGACTTTTTCATGGAGCAGAGTTGCAAAATGGTCTCCAATTTCGGTAGCTGAACCTTTTCTATTATTTACTTACACTCCGCCTAGGTAGCCTAAGGGTGTCTTATATTGAATCCTCATGTGGACTAGTTTTGTAGGCTAACCTGGGTCCTGCTAGGATTGCCCAGATGGGTTATCCAAGTGCAGCTCGACCTACCAGGCCCTTGTTACAAAACTCCAGATTTCGAGCCCACTTGTACGATGCCACCTTAAAGCGAAAACAGTGCAAGTAACAAAATACCAAGTGTTCTTTATTAACATCCTTGTAGAAATGCCTTGAAACAGATGCTATGTTACAAAAATGTGTCCCTGTGTCAACACATAAAGCTTTGGTGACCTCTGCAGAACGTCTATGTACACTTCGCACGGTAGTCCGCTGTGAGGTTCAATGGCAATCTGCATTTGTGTGCTTGGAAGATATGTCGCCCCGAGGTGTGGGATTTGAGCAAGTATCATTCAATACTGGCGCCCACTCGTTAGACACACTTGGCACGTGCACAGAAGACTAGCTGATGTACACATACATGGAGACATAGACTACATACACTTAAGTGTTTCTTCGTTTTTTGTACACTCTTACAGTTAAACCCTGGTGCAAGCCTGGCCTTGAAATTTTGTGTTACCCCTGCCCCACAGCTCTGCCACTATTTTAAGCCTGCAGGTCACGTCTACCAGAAACCACACGTCGAAAATGCAGAGTACAAATTTTTAAAAGCAAAAATGCAAGCTGGTATTTTCGTAATGAATTTATAAGTAAAGGTGCCATGGCCACGAAATCTTGAGTTTGAAAAATAATAAATTAAAAGGGTTCAACAGCCCAAATATTGACAAAACTGAAATTGAAAGCAGAGAGATTGGTTCTTAAAACTTGAACTATGCATATCCTTGCTGCACAATAAATACTGTAAAGTTATCTTACCAACAAGCTAAATTGCCCAATCATTTTTGGTCTGAACATATACATTGAAATACTATTAAATTGAAAAGCTGATCCCTGTTTCCCCACAGTAAAAAACCAGATGCAATATACATATAGAGCCAATGTGACAGCATAAAATTCCCTACGGAGTCCTCTAGTCAACACAGCCTCAGTTCTTAGATTAAATTGAGTGAAAGCAACCAATGAAATTATTAGGCCCATCACTGTCAGCTATTTAATGTTTCCAGGAACTAATATTTAGACTTTAGATTCAGTGGATTCTGTCTGACCACTAGAATCTCTTGCACGAAACAGTTGGTGATTTTTAAGGATTCCTGCTGTGCCTCTTGATTATAAAAGCTAAGAGTTATACAACAAGAAAATGCATCATAATAACTTCTTTGTGCCGGTACCAAGGATAGAATACTTAAACATTATGCATCTCAAATGATAGAAATGTCTCAAACTATAATTTAATGACATATATATAGCTTAGATGTGATTCACAATGTGAAAATGTATTAAGTACACAAAGTGTTGCTGATGTGCTCATGTAACAAGAATAGGCAGCTAGTTAATGTGCATGATTTCTCACTCGGAAGGATCTATATTTTTGGCGAAAAGAAGACATGCAACACACCTTCTCTTCAAGATTGGACTTTTTTCATACCAGTGAAAGCTGTAGAACTGTTTTGTTAACTTCCAGTAACACAGAAACGACTTGAAACAATTACAGCAGATAACGTATCAAATGTCAACTGACAAAAGTTTAGGAATGGCTGGAGCTGAAATTCACAACCAATGCTGCTATATAGAAATCCACAGCCAGAAACAACTATATAAGCTGTTTACTGTGCTTGATTTCTCACTCAAAAGGATCCATCTAGCTTTTGGTTAGAAAACAGAACATAGTATATGTGTGCATACTTCTCACAAGAATGGTTATTTTCAAGTCACAAAGCATTATTTGATGATTTTGTTAACTTCCAATAAAGATAGAAAGGACCTAAAACACTTATGGTTGAGGACAACACAGAGAGTTTTAGTACATCATTCTGATACCTTCATAAACAATACCCGCAAACGATATGATGCATGCACAAAGGCATCAGCGGATTATTGGGTATCAATATTGAAGTCATTGAAATGGTCTACTAAAACTCCCTATAAGTAACCACAATGCAAAATTTAGGAGAGGCTAGAACTGAAATTTCCCACAGATGCTGCTGTACAGAAGCCCACAGCCATAAACAAATAAATTATGTATCTTGAATTACATAACGACAAACATGTTGCTTATCTAGACAAATCTGTGCACTTGTGTAAAAAAAAAACTTCAAGTCATCTGACATTAAAAGTAAGAAACAACCATTATTGCATTTATATGTCCTGGTAGTAGCCATTATGAATACTACAAAGACAACTAATATGCATCCACCTCATCTTACCCCATAGTAGTAGTCTTCAGAATAAAATGAGTTCCTTAATAAAAATTTGTAGATCTCTATTGCACAAACTAATTAAATTTTAACATTAAACCTAGACCACTTCAGTGCATCAGTTTAATTTGAGTACACCACTACAAAGTAGCAGGATGCAATTACCTGCAATTTCGAATGAATATTGAACTACAGAAAAGTGGTCATCTCCCCACTAGAATCGATATGACAGATATATTGCACCAGGCCTCCTTTCACCTGAACAAGAAGCAACTAAAGACTACAAAACGACACGGAAAAGCTGTGCCCCACAAACCTACAAAAAGGCGTGCTCAGCATTTGACACATTACTTCAGCATCCCTTCTCATCAACAAATAAGCAGCACCAGAGATGCCACTTGTAAACACAAGGACCCAAAGTGTGCATGTAAAGCGAACATATCTTTCTTTCTTCTTTGCGAATGTTGCTGTACAAAACATCAAGTATGTCCCTAATAGTTCACAGTAGCACCGGACTTGGTGCATTAAAAATGTTTTCTCTCTCTCTCTCCACCAGGTACTGGCCTGAATAAATATTTCTACAAGGCAGCCGGCCCTAGGTGCTCTTGCGTTGCGCACAAATTGGGAGGTGGGTGCTCGAAAACCACTTTGTTTCATCCTTTTTGTACTTTGTTGAAAAGTGTGGACCACATTGGAGCCCGCCTCTGGTCTCCACCTTGTTGGCATCTGAATCAGTTCCAAGTGTCGCGGTGGCTGTGGTAGAATTTTTGATACTTGCAGGGTTCTTCACGTGTGCATTCACAAAACGTTTGGTGCCAACAAGTTATTCCGGTGCAACATAAACAACTGCTGTATACTTTACAATAGGCTATAAAAAATTTTAATCCCTCGCATTCAGCCCCAAAAATATGCCATGGTTTTTAAAAACCTGAGGTTTCCTAATGTGTTTAGCGTGCCACTAAATGATTGCGACATAATGGTACCTGAAACAAATCTATCGCATAATTCGAAAATGTGACAAGATTTTATCTTGGCTCAACAAGTGAGAACCTCTAAATTGCTCAAGGACCAACTGCTTAAATAAACATCAAATAATAAATTGGTGAATAACTATTCTTACAAACCCAAGGTTGTTCTATGTTCTAATCAGCTCGTCATCCATATCTTTACCGAGCACAATCCTTTATGAGTAGCAAGCAGACACTGCAATTCTGTATTTACATCTGTCCAACTCAAACAATTTTTGGTCTTCATGCTCATTTCTGGCAAGAATCTGTCCATCTTCCTATGCTTTGTGCACACTGTGACTAGGCATAGATCATATGCAATCAAAATGCTCGTTTTCCAGCTTCACCAGCTCTGCAGCACATTTGACAGAGAACACCAAATATCAGTATGCCACAGCAAGTCACTGTCTGCAACCAAAGGTACACAAACAAAACGCACGTCATCCACCTCCAACAAAAATCAAGCAGCTGTCATTGCATCGGTCGAGTGGTTCACAGAGCATCTTTCCTCCCAGAGCGCCAGGGCGCAGTAATATGTGCACGTTTCCCGGGTTTTGGTCAGTTCCTATCATCAACAAAGCACAGGGTCCCTCAACTACTAACTATAATAGTAGTTGTTCATGGAGCGTGACATGGGTGCTCTTGGATGTGTATCACTGTCCTGACGCCTCATCCCAGTCCTGTTGGCGTAACGCACCACCTCGATGGTACTTGTGTGGCGAGGACCTGAAGCCACGTCAAATTGGTCCCCGCCGTCCGAGTCATCGAACGAACACGACAAAGGTTCGGATGCCTTTGTCTTCGCACGATGCCGATCCCTCCGTCGTTGTACATACAGCCGAGCAGACAGCACCATTAGGAAAGCCACAAGGCCGCAGCCAAGGCTGAGTGTAACATACAAGATGAACTTCTCCTTGTTCTCTGTAAGTAAACAAGCAAAACCAGTCCATAAGCATCGACACAAAGAAAGTAGCTCAACAATCTGCATCTCCTCAAAACCATTTCTACAGGCATGAACTTTTGCAAATAGTGATTCCTAACTTTGTTTAATGACATGTTACTGCAAAATGTTAACACAAGTCCAGTATGGCTATGCGTGGCTTGCACAGGACGTCATTTCCGTTGCCCTCCAGAGAAGAGGGGAAGAGGGAGCTCCCCTCTTATCAGGATCCTCCTTTGTGCCTCCCGGATTTGCACACGCGTCGCCATTCTCCTCCCAGAAGATTATAGAAGATTAACCTGTCACTCAAAATTCTTACAAAAGCAGCTTCCCTCTCCTCCTTTTACTTGGTGTTCAAATGTGTGCGATGTGACGTCAGTGCAAGGAGCCTATTGCCAAGTTAGCCACGTGACATGCCTTGTTTGGCTGGTGCTGCCAACCAAATCTTCTATGTTGAACATCCATTATTGCTTATGAAAAGCCATAGTGATTAGAAAAATATTCGATAATAAAACGTTCATGTTTCTCACTGTCGACAATCAAACATTTTCAAGAGTCTCACTGTCAATGCCAGTATGGCACACATTCAGTGCATAAATGAAGGCACAGACTCGCTAATTATTGCTTTCTTCCTGCTTCAGTCAATGGCTTTGTTCAGGACACCATTGCAAAACAGAGCTTCGTCAATGATAAGACAACAAAATCAAATCAAAAGATGACATTACAACTATACTCATATTCAAATCCAGAACTGTAGAAAAAAGCCCGGCTCCTAACGGAACATTATTATTTTCTACCTTCATGTGTTGATTAAATATATATGTAGGTATATCCCAGATTGTATTTATGATACTTTATCAAGACATACACGTTTCAAAATCCAAAATAATTGTTTCTTCATTTGATAACCGAATATTGTAAGAACTACTTCTCATAGCACAAGAATAATGCACAAAACTTCTTTCTATTTTTGATATGACGAGAACAGAGATGTGGCAAACATTAGAAGGTTGAATTGAAAAGGTTTTTAAATATTCTAACCTTGCCAAAGTTCAAAGTCACAATGTTCACAACTCACAATCAGGTTCAAAAGATAAAAAAATTTAAGTTTTTGAGGTTTCTGAAAGTTGATGTTCGATTTTTTTTAAGTCCTTTCATGTTCAAGTTCATAACATTTGAAGATTTCACATTTACAAATGCGAAGTTCAGAAACTTTGGATTTCGCAGTAGTTGGAGTTTCTCAGTTGCAAGTAAACATTTTGTAGATTCAACTGAAAAAAATTGAACACTGACAAAGTTTTGAAACAGATTGTTCATGGCAAAGCCATCACTGCAATAAGCTCACTAGCTGGCTTGGCAACTTGTTTTGCCTCTTGGAGTTTGGAGTCAGTCTTCTATGACAATGACTGTACTTTGATTACTTGAGTACATGTATGTTTTAACAACTGCATGTACTTGTCCACACATTGCAAGTGTGCTTGTCAATATTTTGCAGCAGAGGTGTTCAGACTGGTAGGTTCTGATTGTAGCATGCTTTCAAGGCTAGGCCTGGTAGCCTTCAATTCATCTGTGAATCGCCTCTAAGTCCTAGATGTGTTTCAATGTTTACCAATCTTTTGAACCTTGCAGGTTTGAAGTTTGACATACCTTGCAATTTTCACCAATGTGACATGTATGCATAAGTTAGAAAACCTTTGAACTTTTTAGACCCTTTGGCTTAAGGGGTGACACCACCTTCAAGTCGACTTTTAAACCAGTTTCTCAATATTGATGAAATTTGAAGGGTCTATTCATCTCGTTGCCTAAATGCACTCTATGAAATTTCATCTCTGTAGGGCTATTTTCCGATAAGCTACAGGGGCAGATACACAGCTATTGATGTAAGTCGCCTCACTTGGCAAGGAAATCTATCGTATAAAATTGATGGAGAATATTGAGCATTTCTAAGCATCAGCCCTAACTAAAACATATGGTTGGTGGAACTATCTATTTTTTACCTTAAAATCCGTGTTTTTTCTATGCAAAATGTTAATTTGAAAAGCATTCCCCATAATGGGGCATTTTTTCCTCATCAAAACTCTGCTTTTTGGCAATAATAACTTTATTTAAATAGAAAAATAAATATCTAGCCCCATTTCTCATTAAATTTCAGTTCAGAAACATCCACAGCAAAGAATACATTCGGCGATTTATTGAAATGATAGATTTCCTAAAATGAAAGTTGCTGCAAAAAAGTGAAACTAAGAAAAACCTGTTTAAAGTTTCCACACCACTACATTTGCTTTTACTGGTGGTGGTGGCAACTAAAAGGCAATAGCGTAGATGGTGCTTTCTGCTTACACCCAATCTCCAGCATGGCTCTGATGAGTGAGTCCGAGCTTAAAACGCTTTCTTTGGGTGTCATTTTGTGATCGGCATGTGGACATTGCTTGTGAAATGAGTGAGGAATTGGGTATGGCTTGCAATACACAAATTAACGTCAGCAAGTATGGGCGGGGCAAGCATCATCGAAATACAAAGCAGACAAACCCACGTACGTGACATTCTATAAATGAATGCTGGTTTTAGTCAGTAGTTTTGTGTTCAATCAGGGTGGGCTTTTCGATTCTTGGCCATATGCATAGCCTCTTCTACATGAAAGCTGGAATTCTATGGTGTTCTTGCTCAAATAGAGTTTAATTTCAAACAAATATATTTAATGTACTGAAACTCTGAAGAAATGCTCCTCCCAACGAGAGTATGATCATCATTCTAGGGCATACCGGTGCAAAGCTACAGCAGTTTGAAAATAGGAAACAAAAGTTTCACATTTCAAAAACATGTGATTTTGCATCGTTGGCTTACCGTAAATGTTTTATTTCTCCGTAAATACTCCAGATATTGCAATGAAAATTTGCAGGAGTATACACTATTAGTTGTGGAACCACATTAAATAGGAAAATTCATTTTTTTCTTAAAAATTGCAGTTTTAAGGTGGTGTCCTTTCTTAATTTTCAAACCAAGGGTGTGAAAAAGGATAGCAGCATCTCTAATGCCAATGCTGTATAGTAAATTGACCATAAAATTAATATGTATATATATATGTATATATATATGGAGAAATGTACACTTAATTCTAACAAAGAGATGTTTGGTTGGTTTCGAATGCAATGTACATGTTTTTCTCATTTGCAATTGAATAAAAAGAGCCTACCATAGTATACCGTGCATCTGCCCATCTCACACTAAGTGCCCATTTCCAAATTTGTAAGATCTGAGAAAATATGCACAGTATATTAATATGTAAAATTTATGACCGGACAAGCACCCATCCCCCCGTTTTTCGCGATTATTTCCAAATTTTAGGGCACTTGCCCGGTATTTTACGGTACCTATTTTTGTTAGGTGATTCCTAACAATGATATCAGGACAAGCAGAGATATGTTAGTAAAAAAAACCTGTCCTGACTTTTTTTGATTATATCCCCACTTTCACACTGCCTGCATGTACAAGCACAATATACCGTAAAACACTGAGAATGCATCCATCTCGCCTTAAATGAACGCCTATAGCCTACTTTTGAAGCATTCTACATTTAACCCTTTAAGCACCAGTCAGTTTTCGAAAAAATGTAACCAAAATGCAATTTTTTTTATTGCACACTTTGATAGAAGAATTTTTCCTTATTTCAAGCATATAAGACATGGGCATAAAAGTTTAACAACTGAAAACCAAATTTGATCTAATCTTAGACCATATGAGGCAAAAAAAAATTAAAAATGGGGGCCGAGACGGCATCAGGAATTCCGTAGTTGAAAAACAAAGTTCTAAAAACTGGAAATGCAGACTTCTACACCCGTTGGAGAAGAACTCCATAAACCTTCAAAACTGTGCCTTCGTGTGGTACACCTCGAAGCATGGGATGGCGCACAGTCCCACGCCACAGTCCTTGCACCAGTAGCGCGTTTCTTTGCGCACCTTCTTGTCCCCACCACCTCCTGCCTCGCAGCACACGACGCACCTTCGTGTTGGCAGCTCCTTTCCAGGTGTCGGTGGGATGTAGGACACAAAGTGTCTGGCGGTCAGACGCAGCAAGCTTGTGTTGGACGGACTGCCTCTCATGAGGGTGCGGTTCGGATCGTGGTACTTCTGGACCATTCCTTCGACCAGCGCCAGCCGTAACTCCAGGTGGCTCAATTTCTCGCCTTGTTTCTGGTAGAGCGAAAATGCGTTGAAGACTGCCATGTCCAGGAGGTGACGAAAAATCTTGTAATAAATTTTTTGTCGGCTTCTGGTAGTAGGGTAGTAGGAAAGCATCTGATCACTCTTGTCAACACCAGCCATGGTGTGGTTGTAGTCGATGACTACAGCTGGTTTCGAGACTGTCTCTTTCTTCCTATTTACCATTTCTGTCATGGTGGCATCAGTGGACAGCAAAGTCACAAGCTCTTTATTCCTCCACTGGAGTGCACTTTCCACGCTGGTATGCCACAACCCTTTTTGAGATTAGCATCTTTGAGAGGTGGCATATCTTTGCGGAATGGTCGCACAGTGCCGTAGACGTCAGTCTTGCGGCTCAGAAGTTTTTCAACCAACTCCAGCGACGTGTAGAAATTATCCACAGTAAGGCAATAGCCCTGGTCCAGCAGTGGCTCCATTAGTCTCATGACGACTTCCGTCCCCATGGCGCTTGCCTGATCGTCGACGTCAGTGCCCTTGCCTGTGTAGATGACGACGTCCCATATGTAGCCGGATGCTGCCTCACACAGCACATAGAACTTCACGCCGAAGCAGGACCGTTCTAGCGGAAGGAACTGTTTCCAGGAGAGTCGTCCCTTGTAGAGCATGAAGCTCTCGTCAATGGATATATTCTCTTCTGGCATGTAGCTTGCTTTGAAGTGCTCTTTCATGAGCGACAGCACCGGCCAGATCTTGCCAAGTTTCTGACGCGCTTGCCCCACTTCACCAGCATCATCTTCGTTGTTTGCGAAGTAGAGAAACT